AAATGTGAGTGGAATCCGCAAAATTTGTAAGCGGAAATCCGCAATTGTCGCCAGATTCCGCAAATTGTAAGGAGATTCAGTATTTTGTCTATTCTCGAATTTGCAATTTGAACAATTGAAAGCTAAAGCTGGAAGTCTTATGTAAAGCAATGCGGGAATTTAAAGGCAAAGACTTAGCCATTGTTAGCGGAATTCACGAAACAAATCTCAAAACATTCAGCTTTTAGCATTTGGGATACACAACACAGAATAAATTCAACTTTTGGAGTCCTTGGTTGAGAGTGTATTGAAATACTACACTCAGCATATCGCTAAATTAGGTCAGTACTTATGATTGCGTCAATTCCAAATACCGATTTTGGAAGCATAACGCCGAATTAATTCAATGCTTGTAGTAATTGGATTGAGATTGTATGGAGACATAACACACGTCATTTCGCCAATTTAGGTCAGTATTGGGGACTGCCTCAATCTCAAATACTGCTTTTGAAGCTTAACACCGGAAATAAATTAAATATTGTAGCCCATGGCTTTGAGAGTGTTTTGGAAACACAACGCACAGCGAATCGCCGACTTAAGTCGGTATTTGGGATTGCATCATTGTTTGGGATCGAAGTTCATATCAAAGTAGGTCAGTAATTTGGGATCAGAAGGTCAGTATTGGGATCGAATTTCCAGTAGTTCAGTATTTGGGATCGAAGAAGAAATCGAAGTTGACATGATTTGAGATCAAAGTTGGTTGACTGGATCTTTTGTTTGTTGAAATTTTTTTTGAAGTTCCATTAAAACGAGAGATAATAATACAGATAAGATACACTAGCTCAAATTGATAAAACTTTTTAGCTAAATTGAACTAAAATCATTTCTTAAAACAAAATTCAAATATTTCTACGTTAATAGAGGTTTTACCGTACAAACTGAGAGTTTCTATTTTTCAATAATTTAAATAGAAATAAGCCTTAATATGTTATAAGACGCCATGTCAAAAAAATATCAGGTCATAGATACTGCAAAGTTTTTAAATCCTAGAATGTCAGATGGAATGACAAAAGTTATTTAGCATTTCACAAACATCCAGATAGATTGTAAAATCGACTTGTTGTTTAAAAAGAAGCCAGAAAATTAGACTTGAATTTCATATGTTTTTCCTAGGATATATTATATATCCAAAAAGGACTCCAGAGAAATCCAATTCTCATCAATTTCATCCTGAACAAGTTCAAAAGAAAAATTTGATCAGACTAAACGAGACACCAGAGGAATGTTTGAAAAAATCTATTGAATTTAAAAATTGTAGCTTATGAAAAGCTAAACCTGTAATATTACTGAGGAGAACCCAAAAAAAAACAAACTTGGTTGCATATCCAGATTAAGCTTTACAAAAGTTCACATGATTATACCCAAATGCAAACGCAGGAGGTTTTTATGAGAGAAAATTTTTCTCTTTAGGCACTATGCCACTCCCAGGTGATGATCAAGATATACTTGTAGATATTCAGAAACCGTTATTCGGTTCAACAACAAGCGGTCCCGCAGCTCAATGGGATCCAAGACTAGCATCCCTTTTATCTTGGAACAATATAAGAGATAATTTTGTCCATGGAATCACTGATAATTAGGATAAACGTAGGAGATGAAATGAAACATAAAAAGACAGCCCAAAAAAACGTCACTAGAAAATACAACTTTTTATTTATATAAAAAAGATCAAAAGCCTGAAATACACTAGCCCAGAAGTCAAAAACTAATTGAGTTTTGACTCTGACAGAATACGGCTTTTAAAGTTCAGTTTTTTAATTCGAGATTCAGGTCAAAACTATTGGAATTTACGCAAAAAACTTTAAAATTTTAGGACCGAGAAGTATTATACCAAAATAATTGGTTAAAGTACAAGATGTTGAACCAAAGTTTCATTTTTATTGTTCATTTTTTAAACTGAAAATCTTCCGTAGAAAAATTAAGGATTGAACAGCTTTAATAACACAATATCTGTTTTTATAAACCAAAGATGTTATCCAGGTTTTAGCTTTTCGGGTTCACGTCTGATAGCACAAATGCCAAAAATTCAATTAAACTTCCACAAAAAAATATATTTTATCTAACGTGAACTCTCCTCGACATATGCCGCTGTATGATCTTGATTCAGATTAATGATAGATAAACTGCAGAGTTATTGCACGAAGGGCATTTTAGTAACGAGGTACCGAAGGTCCCTCAAGACACTTCGCTAGAAACATTTTAGGGCTGGTCGGTTTAAAATGAATGTCATTAAATAAAACCAAAGGTGGTACCTTTTGGTTGGTGAGCGTGTCCTAGCCTTAAATCCGCCCCTGCTGTTGAATCTCACTTTAACTTTTCTTAGATACTATGCACATCGGTATTGCAAAATCACTGGCAGAAATTATTATTGTTTTTGTATTTGATGCTTTCATTTTGTTGAACATTAAAGAGAACTTCGCATTCTTATTTGATGAAAACAGATTTGAAATTTTTTTAGTGAATTTGGGCGCAAAAATCTAGCCCCTGTATAAATTTGGAGTTTTTGCAGGCTTATTTTTTCGATTTCATGCCACGATGATTATAAAATAGTTTTCTCTGATATCAATCATTTCTTAAATTCTTTTGACGATGAACAATTAACGATACAACTCATAGACAGACAAATTGCTGAAGGTTTTGATGGTTTCAAGTGTCATTGCCTGCCACATATATTTGCTTTTTCAGGCCCTTCATGCTAAAATTGCTATGTAATTTTATATAGCAACCCTTTATAACGGGACCTATATAGCAACCCTAGCCAATCAAGGGACACTGGTCTTGCAAAATCTCTCAACAAATTGCAAAAAACTTTTAACTATCATGCATCTCTTTAAAAGTTCTTGCAAGATTCTTGCAACATAAACTCCTTTAAACTTTTAGCTTTTGTGGCAGGAATACGAAAATCAGTGGGGTAAAATTGAAATACTTAATCAATTCAGAAAAAAAAAACAAAGAGAAATATAAACTCAAAGCAAAGCATGAGGTGATCCTAATAGCCTATCGTTTCTATGTGGACATAACATACCCAGTTTCAAGCAAATTAATTCCATTGAACACACATTTTTGAAAAAAAAGCTATTTAACCGCTTTTATTGCAAAACTAGATGAGTTATTCGAATAAACCAAAAAATCAAGTTAAATGAAAATTTTTATTCAAAAATGCCTTAATTATAATCCAAGCCCGAATTTTTTACTGTACAAAAGATGAAAAATCAGCTTATATATACGAACGTTTTTAAAATTGGTTATCTCAATTTTTTTTCTCAGAGCTTAAAAACCAATTCTTTGTGACTTTAGAAAATTCGATTCTCCATAGTGTTTTTCTGGCGTTCAGACTTGCAAGATAGCCCTTATTTGCAAAAATATCGCAAGTTTTTGCAAGATAACCCTCCTTGATTGGCTATCCCGCACTGACAGAAATGGTTTCCGGTCGATTTAAATTGATTTTAAATCAATTTTAAATCAATTCAAATCGATTAGCCATGTACATTTTACGAACTTAAATGGATTTTAAATCGATTTAAATTGATCTTTTTAAAAACTTTAAATCGATTTAAGTGTCTTAAAATTGATTTAAATCGATTTCGATGGATTTGCCGACTCACTAAAATCCCTCCGCATCTCACTTAAATCCATCAGAATCTCTTTTAAATCCATTTTAAATCGATTCAAATTGATCTTTTTGAAAATTTTAAATTGATTTAAGTGTCTAAAAATTGATTTAAATCGATTTTGATGGATTTTCCGACACACTAAAATCGATTTTTTTGCTCTGCTCACAAGGCAAAAAACATGCTTTTTAGAAAATTAAACGAAAATTTTAATCTTGATTTTCTAAATAGAAACACATGTGCCAGATGTTTTAGAACTCAAGTAACATAGTGCATTAACATATGTAACAAATCAAAAAATCTGTCAAAATGAACCAGATTTTGAGCTCAAAAATATGCATTGAAATCATAGAAAATCAACATTGAAAATCGGATCTTGGGCAAAAACCTGTGTAACGAATGAAGAAATTGGTCAATATAAATCAGATTTTGAGCTCAAAAAATTCATTAAAATTATTAAAAAACTATCAATGTAAATCCGATATTGGGCAAAAACAAATTTATCAAATAGAGAAAAAACATTGCTAAAAAATAAAATTTGAGCTCAAAAATATGCAACAAAATAAGATATGGGGGTCATGGGGGGACGGTTGATCTTGTTTTACAAAATTTCAAGAAAAAAAGTGAAAAAAACGATTTAAATCGATTTAAATTCGATTTGAATCGATTTCATTTTAGGTCAGATATAAGATCCATTCGAATTGATTTAAAATCGACTGAACTCGATTTTTGTAGCGTTGAAATTAAATCGATTTAAAATCGATCAAAGTCGATCTGAACTTTTTCTTTTTGATTAACTTACTTTTTTACATATTAAATCGATTTCAATTTAATCTGCATACTTTTCATACTAAAATCGATCTAAATCAATTTCTGTCAGTGCGTGTGGGGTAGTCACCAGAAAATAAGCTATATTCTTCTATCTTTAGGGTATATACGAGCAGATATGACATCGGAAAGCATCGAAATTGACTTGGGGACGACTGCGTGTTGTGTAGCTGTATACAGGGCAGATGGAAGAGTGGAGGTCATTCCAAATGGTCAGGGCAACTTCATTACCCCCTCGTACGTGGCCTTCAGTGACAACCAGAGACTCATCGGCGAGGAAGCCAAAGCCCAGGTATATCATGTTACCATAAATTATTATCATTTTATGAACGTTTTCCCAAACTTAGCGTACGAAACCAATTTGACGGTCGGAAACAACTTTAAAAAATTTCAATCGAATAATTTTCCCTCGGTCAATCACAGTCGAAACTTTTTTTCTCAGTCGAAGCATCTCTCGGTCGAAGCATCACTTCGAGAAAACCCTAGATCCGCCCCCTGCTTTAGAGTATAATGAGGTTGTCTTCATTTTTGTTAGTGTTGTTGGAAAACGATACATTCCGCACCCTATACACCACTGATTTCATTTTTGCAGAATCGAGCTATAGCCAAAAAAAGGAAAGTTGTCAATTATTTACTAATAATAGCAGGGTAGCTGAACCTAAATTGTCGTTCTTCATCAAAATAACAATCCCTTTTTTCTGGCTGTAAAACAAAATTAGTCAAAAAAGCACGATGCAAGTGAAATATTCGTATTGGTTTCCCCATAACTTTAAAAGAAATCGTCGAGAATACTGGTTTAGCAAGTTATGCATAAAGTATGGGGTCTTACGAATCACGGCTTAGTTTTGCAGTACTTGATTTAAAAGCTGGTATGGCCTTTCTGCATCACTTTTTTCTTATTCTTGAACTTGCAATTTTAAAAGACTAAATACATGAAATACATAATATAATAATAATCATAATAAATTGTTTGCAAATTAGATTCCATTCATTGTAAAAGTTACTACATTTACAAACAAACGAAAACACATTGCGACAACGCCGTGGAACTTTGCAGCCCGTTTTCAGGCGCCTCTGATTCTGCTATGACTTCTGTTATTTTTTAATATCGATAGTTAATCAAAAAATCAAAAAAAAGATTTAATGATTTAATACATGCCCTATGTAGAATTTGAAAGTTGAAAAATATACATAACACAAAAATTATATAATTAAGATTACCTAGTTTGCTCCAGGATACCAAAGAGTTGGCACAAAAATGTCTGCTATTTTTTCGTGAAAACCAACTGTAAGTAACGGAGTGCAAATTTAACCATCGTTTCTGAAGGCATGGCTTCTTCTTGAATTTGAAATGGTGATTGTAGAGAAGACTGAGCTACTGTGTTTCTGTACTAAAACTTAACTTAACCACGTATTCTTTCAGCTGGAGAGGAACATTGAAAACACTCTCTATGACTCAAAACGAATGATCGGAAGAGCGTACGATGATGAACGACTTCAAGCTGTTCGTTCATCTTGGAAGTTCAACACTGTGCAAAAAAACGGTCAGCTATGCTATGATGTGTTGTGCTACGGCAAAAAGGAGGTGTTGACCCCAGTACAAGTCTCCGGAATGATTCTCTCCAGACTCAAAAAGGAAGCAGAAAAATTCTTAGAAACTTCCATTTCGGAAGCAGTCATAACTGTTCCTGCTTACTTCAACAACACTCAGAGAGAAGCTACAGCCCTGGCGGCACAAACTGCAGACTTGAAGGTCCTTCGAATTGTCAATGAGCCTACAGCTGCGGTTTTAGCTCATTGCGACGGTCAAAAATTTGCGACGGGAGATAAAAAGATTCTGGTGTACGATCTTGGAGGGGGGACTTTTGACATAACCATAGCAGAATGCCAGGATGAAATTATAGACGTCCTAGCTACGTCTGGTGATTCATTTCTGGGTGGCAGGGACTTCGATCAAAACATGGCTGAATATTTCGTTAGACATGTAGAAAAACAATGTGGAAAGGGCATAAAGGATAACAAAAGGGCCTTTATTCGACTTCTGCAGGCTTGCAACATATCCAAACATCAACTTTCTTCTGTGACATCAACTACAGTTGTAGTTGACAACCTTTTGAATGGAAAAGACTTCACGTCTAACATCAGTCGAGCCCGATTTGAAGGTCTAAATGAGCACCTGTTCAAAAAGACTCTGGACAGCATCCAAATTGCCCTAATTGATGCCAAACTGCAAAAGGAAGACATCAACGCCGTGTTGATGGTAGGTGGATCCAGTAGAATTTTCAAAATCCGGCAAATGATCCAGGAGTTTTTCCCGGGCACGCCGTTAGTCAATTCGGGAAATCCAGAGGAAACTGTTGCTCGTGGGGCTGCAATTTTAGCCAGTCTCATAAAGGCGCCGTCTGCTCAATTGATGCAAGTTGTACTAATTGATGTGTGCCCTCTCTCACTCGGAGTTCAATCCAAAGACGATGTAATGTCGTTCATCATAAAAAGAAACCGCTCTATTCCGTGCCAAGCGACTAAGGCTTTTCAAACTACTAAAGACAGTCAGCAGTCCATAAAGTTTTCAATTTTTGAAGGAGAACGATCAATTGCTTCACAAAACAATATATTAGGCTCTTTTATACTTGAAGGCATCAAACGCGGTTTTAAAGGACAGTACAAATATGATGTAACCTTCAACGTAGACATTAATGGAATTTTGAACGCGAAAGCTGAAGAGAGGGCGACAGGAAAATGCGAGGGGGTTACAATTAGGCGTGAAAAACATGAACCCGACGAAGTGGAAGCACTTCTTGAAGACGAACAACGATTTGCAAATCAGGACCGAATTGAGATGCGCCGAGTTCAAGCTAAACAAAAACTGGAACAATATCTCTATCAGGTTTGACTTTGCTTCTTGCATTTAAGTTTTTTTTACATTTGCAGAAGCGATTTTCCAAAAAAGGATCTAAGCCATGAATAAGTGTGAAATGATTTCCATTGAAAAAAATAACAAGTCAATCCAACATTTAGAATATAACTTCGAGAATCATCTATTAATTGAGTAAAACTTTGGAATCGGATGTGAATTTTTTTTCATTTTTTCAATTTTTTCATTTTTTTCATTTTTCCATCTTTTGTTTGGCGCCGTCTGCTCAATTGATTCAAGTTGTACTAATTGATGTGTGCCCTCTCTCACTCGGAGTTCAATCCAAAGACCATGTAATGTCGTTCATCATAAAAAGAAACCGCTCTATTCCGTGCCAAGCGACTAAGGCTTTTCAAACTACTAAAGACAGTCAGCAGTCCATAAAGTTTTCACTTTTTGAAGGAGAACGATCAATTGCTTCACAAAATCTTAACTTAGGCTCTTTTATACTTGAAGGCATCAAACGCGGTTTTAAAGGACAGTACAAATATGATGTAACCTTCAACGTAGACATTAATGGAATTTTGAACGCGAAAGCTGAAGAGAGGGCGACAGGAAAATGCGAGGGGGTTACAATTAGGCGTGAAAAACATGAACCCGACGAAGTGGAAGCACTTCTTGAAGACGAACAACGATTTGCAAATCAGGACCGAATTGAGATGCGCCGAGTTCAAGCTAAACAAAAACTGGAACAATATCTCTATCAGGTTTGACTTTGCTTCTTGCATTTAAGTTTTTTTTACATTTGCAGAAGCGATTTTCCAAAAAAGGATCTAAGCCATGAATAAGTGTGAAATGATTTCCATTGAAAAAAATAACAAGTCAATCCAACATTTAGAATATAACTTCGAGAATCATCTATTAATTGAGTAAAACTTTGGAATCGGATGTGAATTTTTTTCATTTTTTCAATTTTTTCATTTTTTTCATTTTTCCATCTTTTGTTTGGCGCCGTCTGCTCAATTGATTCAAGTTGTACTAATTGATGTGTGCCCTCTCTCACTCGGAGTTCAATCCAAAGACCATGTAATGTCGTTCATCATAAAAAGAAACCGCTCTATTCCGTGCCAAGCGACTAAGGCTTTTCAAACTACTAAAGACAGTCAGCAGTCCATAAAGTTTTCACTTTTTGAAGGAGAACGATCAATTGCTTCACAAAATCTTAACTTAGGCTCTTTTATACTTGAAGGCATCAAACGCGGTTTTAAAGGACAGTACAAATTTGATATAACCTTCAACGTAGACGTTAATGGAATTTTGAGCGTGAAAGCTGAAGAGAGGGCGACAGGAAAATGCGAGTGGATTACAATTAGGCGTGAAAAACATGAACGCGGCTAAGTGGAAGCACTTCTTGAAGACATACAACGATTTGCAAATCAGGACCGAATTGAGATGCGCCGACTTCAAGCTAAACAAAAACTGGAACAATATCTCTATCAGGTTTGACTTCGCTTCTTGCATTTAAGTTTTTTTTAATTTGCAGAAGCGATTTTCCAAGAAGGATCTAAGCCATGAATAAGTGTGAAATGACTTCCATTGAAAAAACAAAACAAGTCATTCCAACGTTTAGAATATAACTTTGAGAATCGTCTATTAATTGAGTAAAACTTTGGAATCGGGCGTGCATTTTTTTTTCATTTATTGTTAGTCCAAACAAGTTCTCAAGTGAGCTTTATCCTCTGTAGCAAAAAGATCCTCCAGGGATCTTTAGGGAGCCTAGTTTGGGGGAACGCCTGCCATGGGCCGCCTAAGATCCTTAAATGGGGGCAACAAAACTTTTTGGAGCCAAAAATTGAAATGCTGTGTTTCGCCCACCTATCACCGAAAAAGTGCTCGCATTCTGATTTTAGGATCCAAATTTTTTTTCGTTCTCTCAACTCAAATTTTAATAAACAAAGTCGCAAAATGTTGGTTCCCCGGCGGATTTTAATTTTAGCTATTTCATTTTTTTCTCTTTGCGATACTTTTATTCATATTTTTTCTCTTCTCAAATATTGTCTCAGCCACCACCTTCTTTCTCAAACATTCTTTTCGAACAACACCGAAGTGGTCCATTAGATGGTCGATTTTTTCTTGAAGTCCGTTTCGATCTTGGGAATTACATTGCTCGACTGAGTTTAATTACTCCTGCTGAGATTGTTTAGTGAAACTAGAGGGGCTGTTCATTTTCAAACGAAAAAAATGAGTAGTAATTAAAAGAATTAAGTTAGGCGCGGTAAATGATAGAAATCAAATCTTAAGTAAAGTGAACAAGCGTAAGAAATTTGAATATGAAAAAGTTTTCAATTCTGCGGGCTTTCTTTGCAACAATTACTGCTGAATTGTAATTTTCTCCACTGCACTCTGACCAACTCTTATCGCTCTCCTCTTTGTCCATTTCCTCACGTTTTTCAAAAGAAATATGGGTTTGTGCATTTGGTCTTTCTAAATTTTTTTATAAACCAGCAGCAATATGACAATCAAGCTTTTTTTTACTTCAGCGACGTTGACTAAAGCGTTGCTCGGGCACAGAAAAATCGGACTGCTACGCAATTGCAAATTCAAGCTAACTGAGGTTGGTTCCTCGCATTTTTGATCCTTTTGCAAAATGCCTTTCCAATTTTTTTCTTCAAATTGTTTTTTAGAAACTCATCATATTCAGAAAATGACCAAGCAGTATTGTGGTAATAAGTTCGCTTAAAAGGAATCGCTGGGTATTCAAGGAGGCTAGCGCTATTTTGTTCGTACCTAGTGTTCGTTTTAGCTTTTTCGTGTTTTTTGACTGGATAATAATATTTTTCACAAGAATGAAATTGTTTTAACCTGTCATGGCTAAGAGTTCTTTGAACCGTCCAAGTGATTACTTTTGCTGACTTTTTTGAGAAGCTATCTAGACCAAAAGGACAAAATATAAAAAAACATTCTAAAAATGAATGCCTAATCACCAAAACAATAATGTCTACTTTCTCTATTAGAAAAAAATGCGAAGCAAACATTTACATAGAAACCGCAACTGTTTCGGTAAGTTCTCCTAACAACAAGTAGTTCATGCTAAAACCAAGTTTTTGAATAAGTACTTGTATCAACAAATTTTGCATAATCGTTTTATCTAATTTCTATGACGAACAAATTAAAAAATGATGATTGAGAACACTTACTTTTCATCTAAATGAATAGAACTTCGGCTTCAAACCGACAAAAGCCTCTATTGTTTTCCCTGCCATCTCGTCTTTGAAATCTAGAACTGTCTTCTTGTTAAGGTCACTGTACATTGGCGAGTCTTTTGGGTACTTACTAAAACCGAACTGATTTCCCAGTTTTTTCAAATTTTCGTATACAATCTCAGATTTATGAAGCTGTCAGTGTCTGAGTATAGCAATTCCAGGTTAAAGTTGGTTTGCATTTGAAGATAATGGAACTCAAACATGAACTTCTGGGCCTAGTCTTAAATTATTGGCTTGTCCCAGTGGATTGAACTTGGGCCTATAGCTACAGTGGCCAACAAGCCATCAAACATTTAAAAAGATATTAATGAGCTCTGGCAAAACTCTTGCTTTAATGCTTTTTCGTTGAGACTCCATCGTTTTACCAAAAGCAAAGCTTGCATTAAAATATTAGAAAACAAACGTCTTCTTTGCAGCCATTCAGCTTGTAGAAACTGCAACACACTGCACAAAAATTTTGACAACCTCGTCATACTCATTTTTCCAAGCATTTCATTTTGATCGGTACTCAAGTCCATCAGTTCAATTACTTCTTTAGAGGGCGCTGATGTGTAATCCTTGAAGTAGTCAGGCAGGTCTTCCGAAAACTCCAGATATTATTCGGCGAGGTACCCCCATTCATTGCTTTCTTCGGTCAACATTGATTTCGCTAGGCCTACACTTTCATCGGCAAACGAAAACTTTTACAACGGTAGTGAATAATGCAGCATAATTCCGCCATAGAGGCTATTAGCGTCGAAATTATTGATATACGATGAGTCTCCGTTTCTATCATAGTCTTCTAAATACTGTTTAAAAACTTTCCATTATTTTTTTTGGCAACTGATGCTTTTCCACCGCGTATCAAATCCTCCACAAACTAGAGGTGGTCCCGCTCAGTGAGCAGTCGAATGTCTGCCAGATTTTCTCTCAAGATCACGTCACAGGCTAGTTTGCTTGCGGTGTAGTAGTGTGCGCAGTCGAGCCCGTACGTAATATAACATTCCAAATGAAATTCTTCAAAAAACCGAAGGTAGTAGTAGAACATCTGTAGCAAGGTATAGATCGTGATACTCGAAGGGCAACGGAACTCGCTAAAAAACCTCTTGGAACGATTATACTCGATTTCGTTGACGCTTACTTCCCCACCAGTGAGACTGTATTTCCATAACCTTAGGGCAGGCAATAGTGACTCATTGAACTTATCAAAGCTATTAATGTAACTTTAGGAATACAACCCTTCTCTTTCAAGAGTTAAATTTTTTTCTGAAGAATATCCTTTTTGAAGATGTTTACCAATACTCGAACATTTTGAATTTTTCCATTTGTGTTTTTGAACCTTTTTATCCACATTGATATTTTCAGTAACTGGGTACTACAGAGAACAAATTTATCGGATTGCTTTCCCTAATGTTCGAAAGATGCAGCGAAGATTATACTTTGCTAATTTGTGTGGAATGCAGTTCGTAGTCTTACGGTTGATGTTGCACCTGCTATGAGCCCAGCCTAGAGACTTGTTTGAACAGTGACAGTGATCCAACACTTTCTCTTGTGCTTCCTCCTAATTCTGCTCGCAAATCTAGCATTCAGTCCAAATTTCCTGGTCTGCTGTTTTTTCGTAACTCCTTTTTTCGACAATAGTAACTCCTTTTTTCGACATAGGTTTCCTTTGCTAAAGTTTCTAGGCTGAGTAGCAATTTTTCCTTGCTATCCAACCCTCGTTTTGCTCGAGCTTGATGCTTTTACCTCAAGCTCGAGCAAAACGAGAAGATGTTCAGCAATAGGTTCATTTCGGTT